CAGGGGCCCCTGCCAGTCCCGGTGGCCCGGGGTTGCATGGGGCAGGAGCCGGGGCCGCGGTGTCCAGCTGGGATAGCAAGAGGCCCACTGCCCGGCAGAGGCGCCGCACCGTTGCTGCCTGGCCATGCTCTCCTTCTCCTGGACCTACAAGTTGGCGGTGGATGAGGGCGTCAGGAAGCCCTGAAGAATACACCACTGCGCACTGGATCCTGTTTTTCTTTAACATTTCCAGATTTTGTCCGTGGTGCATTTGGGGGCACCAACGTGTTATTTATCTCAATTACTGAGTTTTGGGCGCCCCCTGAAATTTTGCACGAGAGGTGAGTGAGTTCTTCACCTCTTTAGTCAGGGCCCCGCAAAGCCGCGAGCTCCCGGAATCCTTGGACCGTGGGCTGGACGCGCATCAACCGGTATGCCCAAGGAGGGACGTGGGAGTTGCTCAGTGAACAGTCCCCACAGTTTCTAGACAGCTGCTGCCCCAGCCTCTGTGACTTGGCACTCAGAGCTCCCGCTTTCCAGCACCTTCGGGTCAGTGCTTGAACCTGACCTGCAAAGGTCAGCTGGCCTGGCTGCTGAGTCAGGACCGCAGAGAGCAGCGTCCTTACTGTGAGCATGTCCCTGAGGGAGGGGCTGTTGTGAGCCCCACAGGACCCTGGGAAGTGACCTGACACGCTAAAGTTCACAGCAGCCAGGATCCCGAGCCCCTCACTTCTGACTGAAGGCCTTTCCTTTTTCCATGTGGCCGGTGGCCTGTTCAGAGGACACATCCCTTTGCTGTTCAGCCCCACCACCTCCTGCCCCATGGGCCTGGAGCTGGACTGAGGTTCATGACCCAGGGGAAAATCGGAGTCCTTGACTCATTTTCAGGGTAACTCAAACATGCAACTGCGTCCACTATAGCCTGCTTTCAACTGCCAGCCTGCTGCCACGGCTCCACTGAGAACTACAGAAGACAACCAAACGCACGAAGGGCACATGGGAGAGACCTGGGGACCGGCCTGGGCAGGCTTCGGGTGCTAGCTTGTCTGGGGGAGGGAGGGTGGGGCAGATAAAAACTGCAGTCAAACTCCTGGGGAGGAAACTGCCAGTTCCCCAGATAGAGTGAATTCTGTGATCCCTGCTACGGGGTGCCTGGAGGATGGGGTTCCATAGACCGGGTGGGCTTGCCTTTGACAGCTTCCAGAATGACCACAGGCTCTCTATGCAGATGCTCACTGGGGTTAGCCAAACTGCCGTTTGGTACGTGGCAGCTACAGAGGGCACGGAAGCTAACTCCTGCACTCCTGCAAAGCTTACTGCAATACACTGATGTCTCTGGTGAGAGATGTAGGGCTAGAAGTTGGGGGCTGGGCCAAGCTGTAGTCAAGGGACCCTGGCGAGCCCCCCCCCCCGGGTCACTCTGAACTTCTGCCCTTCATCTGGAAGTAGGGCTTCATGATAGGTCATCCCCAGGAGCACACTCACTTCGTGAGTCGGTAATAAATGAGAGGGTACTGTAGAAAGGGCTTGGTTACCCCCTTGCAGAAACTGCTGCCTACACCCCTTACTCTCTGACTGCACTTCGCTGCTTGTCCCCGGGTCCTCCCGCTCCATCATATCCCAGACCCTGCAGGTCTGTGTGTGACTCATCCTGGAAATCTTACATGGATATAGGGCATGATTCCTAAATGTTTATTGCATTATTTTTCACAGAGAGAATATTGCTTGATGGTGAAGTCCCATACAACACCGCTATACCTCGCAGTTAAAACTGCCCTGGGAGGGGAACCAGCAGTTAACATAATGGCTATGTCGCTGGACTCCCACATAGTCGACCGAGGTTCACATCCCGGACCCGGTGGCTTAAGACTCACGCCGGGCGCGTGTGCGTGCGTGCCCAAGATCCCAAGAGGAGAATGGAGGAGAAGGGATTGCGGCGTGACCATCCACCCTGGGGGGTGATTTCTCACTTTCTGTCTCTATGTCTCTCTCTGTCTGGCAAGCGCACGCACCCTATAGCGAAAACCTCTCCAAAAAAAATCTGCCCTGGGCTGGATGTCCCGGAGGCCGAAAACAAGGTTGAAGAACTTTCAACTTGAGAAGATGATAGCTACCAGCCCTGCATTACCTCAGGGGAAAACAAGAACTACTCTGCCATTCTTAAGGAAGCCAGATACCCAAGGACAACTCACACTGCAGATCCCCACAACACCATTCCTGGTAACTACAAGATGACTGCTGTGCCGCATCAGCTGATAATCATCCCTGCGTACCAGAACTGCTTTCCTGAAACTGCACTCCCTGGAGACTCACCTACACTTGTGGATCTGCAGGAGACCCTCCCTTAATCCAACCCTGAGTGGAGTTTATGCTCCCTATTGCCAAAAACTTTATGAGCTGATGGTTGGAACTCGTGGCCTCTCTCCCTTTACTTGTATGTATCACTTTTTCAGTAACTCTTCTGGAAGACAACTGTATATAGCAGGGATATTGTAATGGGAGAGTGAGACAGGGCAGAGGGACAAACATAGGAAAAAAAAATT